AAAAAAAAAAAAAAAAAAGTAGAAAATAAAACAACATTGTCCGGCTAGTAGAAGGCCCCCATATAACAACTGTCCGGGATGCATGGTGCAGTTGTGTTTCTTCAGGACTTCTTATGGCAGCCCTTATGGCAACCTGTTTTGTACAGTAGCCCTATCTCCTAAACCCTAGATGCCTGCGTTTGGAGACTTTGCTCGGTGCTTAAAGCACGAAAAGGAGCTGCCGTTTGCGACACGCAAGGCGGCAAAGAGAAGGATCAAGTAACTTGGGTTTAGGCCTTTAGTTTTAGGGCCTTAGGGTTCCATAGGCTCCATTAGTAGTTCCTTTTTGGGGATTACCTTATCGGATCCTAACTATTATGAGCCCCCAAAAAGGAACTACTATGGGGCCTCTGGGTAGAGCCTAGGGATGCTTGGGGGAGGCGTCTCCTTCGTATCACGCGCTGCTTGACGCATCTTGAAGCGAACCGTTGGGCTCCAGTTACCCAAATAGTGGGTTACTGGGCTTGGGGTTTAGGGTTTAGGGTAATATATATATATATATATATGTTGTATGGTTAGTAAGCGACTATGTAAGTAACTGGAGCCCTAGGGGAAGGCAGCCACACAAAGCGACACTGCACAGGATTCGTGTCACAACCATGGAACTTCATGCTCGTGTCCAATGGAATATTCACACCGCCTCGTTTTCCAATCGCTGCTGCACGCTGCTAGATTCCGGGCTGAAGCTGTGCTTGCAGTTATAATGCAATGCCATCTTGCCGATGAGCTGGACCCTTGGCAAAGCACATGTTTGTATACTCAGAATGTAGTGTCAGGTGAGTCTAGCCGCTAGCCTCTACAGCACATGCACACCGCATGTCTTGTACAGTGGGCACCCTACAACTAGTGCATGGCTGCAAGACCATCTCAAAAAAGTACTCACTGTACAAATCTGTATAGCCTTTCATTACGGGCGACGTTTCCGCAGTGTCTGCCCGGAGAAAGCTTTCCGAGAGGGACCTGAAAGTAGAACAACAACCCAACAATCCCAAAGCATCCTAAATTGCCCGAAGCCAAGCCCGCCGCCTTTCTGCTGCCGCTTTGCAGGGACCGATCATTGAAGAGATTACGGACGAGGCAGAAGAGTCGCCCAAGGCAGAGCAATTTGCATGTGTCGCGCAAACTGCAGGAGGCAGTTCAACTGATGTAGAGGTTTGACCAAGGGTAATCAAGTAGCAATACTGTCCTCTAAAAGCACCTACACAATCAAATTACGATGATGCTCCCAAAACCTTTGTCTGAAATTGTGGTTAAGGCCCTGAAGTTCAATCTCTGTTCAGGCCGGGGGGCTGCGAGGAGAGAGTCAGAGATGTAACGACGGAATATCTCAAGAAAGTAAGCAGGATGGATACCTATGGCAAGCGCTAGGTAGCCTCTTCTCGTAGCATCTGAAATACGGGTAGTTGAAAGCAACCTCAAATCGTAAGGTTCTCAGAAGCAATAAGGCCTTGTTTCCACTGTCTTTGAACTCGATAGCACTCAGTGACACATCCGCGGGGATTACGCTTCAGGCTGCCCCGCCCTTAGTTGTACCTTAGGAGAGGTGCAGCTGGGATTTGCCCAAAAGGTCATACCGAGTCATATGCTACCTCCTTCTAGAACCGAGTTCCGTGGTTAGGGGCTGTTATATGGAAAACCCTAAACCCTAAAACACTGCCCCCCTCCCAAAAAAAAACGTAGGCTACTCTAAACCCTAAACCGTTAGCGCTGATAATGTTGGAGTCGTACGGCTCAAGAGCTGAGAGCTTGTGGAGACTTCAGGGTGTAGGGTTTAGGAGTTCAGGAGTTTAGGGTAGGGTTTTTCGGCTTAGGGGTTTAACGGATTTAAGGCTTGGGATATGTTTTTGTTTCTTTTTTTTTTTGTGTGTGTGTGTGTGTGTTTTCTTCCGGTTGCTGAGGTCTAGTCTTCTCTTCCTGGTTGATGTGCTTCAAGCACTACAACCCATTAACTTTTTACGCAGTCATCCGCACGGGGGGCTTGAGTACTAATCCTAGACCCTAAACCCTGTTCCTTCTATAGTCTATCTTCTATTTTGAATGCTATGCAACCCAAGAAAAGCCCGTACAATCCTGTAGATTCCACGGTCTGGTTACCCAGAGGGTCCGTATATACTTCCGTTATGGACTTGGGTCCCAAAAGCATCCTTTCTGTGGTTTTGGGGACTTAATTCCAGCATGGCAGTAGATGCGAACCCTAAACCCTAAAACCTAAACCCTAAACCCTACATCCTAAACCCTAAACCCCTAAGCCCTATAAGCCCACATCCTAAACCAGTCTCTTCTGAGCTCAGGCTCCACCTGCCGCCTCGTCCTCTTCGTCCTCGCAGCCTGCGTCCTCGTCGTCGCAGCCAGCCAGGGCGAGCGAAGCCGCTGCAGGCCGGGTTTAGGGTTTAGGGGTTTAGGGGTTTAGGGGTTTAGGGGTTTAGGGTTTAGGGACGAGTGGCTAACTACCAGGCGTTCTTGCTTGCAAGCCTGCAGCAAAAGAGTTTAGGGTTCAGGGTTTGGGGCGGGAAGGGGGCGGAGTTTTTGTGGATGTTCTAAGAGTTCGTGACATTATGCCGATTTGTCCCTGTGTAGATGCATTACTCTTGCACCCCAGCATCCTAGGCCAGTTCTTAAAGCCATTGTGTTTTACTGTTTCGTTCAAGGTGTTTTCCAGTTTCAGGATCAGGGGGGGGAGAGATGGAATCTGATCTACAGCAGCGGTTCGAACACTGTCCTTGAAGGCTTTTGCACCACTCTCAATGTTGGTTGACAGGTTCGGATCAGACTACGGCTTTTCCCGTGGATTTAGTTGGGTATTCAACCCTAAACCCTAAACCCTAAATTCTGCCCCATGCAGGCTACCCAGCAGCACAAGAGGAGCAACTGAGACTGCTCATTGCAGCTGATACGATCCAGGCGGACCCAAAACCGTTCCTCTGTTTGCCAACACATTGCCTTGATCTAGTTCTGCAGGAACATATCTTCTATGAGTGGATCGACATACATACATACATACATACATACATACATACATACATACATACATATTGCATACATGCATACATACATTCATACATGCATGCCTGCATGCGTACATAGAACACATACAGCACATATGCATACATACATACACGCATGCAGACAGACATACAGACAGACAGGCATACATATACACACACACATGCCAGCATATTACATACTTATACTAAGACTTATATCACCAGCTTTGTCTAGTTACTGCGTTTGGATTGCTTCCTGTGTGTTGGCATGGTTTCTTGTTCTGTTTGGGTTTTGAGTGTTGTGCGGGATTTAGGTTTTCTGAATGCTCGCACAGTTGTTCGCATTTTTATGCATCCGTAGCTGTCCAGAACATGGCAAGGCGCGCTCTCGAGAATATATATATATATACATACATACATACATACATACCTACCTACCGGCACATGAACATAAACAAATCACATCAGTGTGAGGTGTGTGTAGTATATATATATATATATATATATATATATTTATATACATACATATATATATATATATTTTAAAACATATACATGCATATCTATGTATATACATATGCCTGTGAGTGCTACAAACGTAAGGTAATAGGTCAGTAGGTGCGTGTTCTCGGCCCTTCATAGGGTTTGGGTTGTGGATTTGCGCTCTCATGCCGGGACTTGCCAAGTCACGGGGGCTCACTGTTCGCTGTCGGTCTGGGTTCGCCATTATGACCCTTTTGCCCCTTTTGTTTTGGTATTATAAACCGAATGTTTAGGGGAAAAAAGGGTACCCTTATGGGTTACTGGGGAACCCAGCGGCTTACCACCAATGAGGGCAAGAGAACTCGAAGACTCCGCCAAGAAACATCAAACAATCACCGGCATAGAAACATAGACCTAGAGCAACCAATGTACCTTTAACGAAGGGATATGACGCTCCAAAACTTGATACAATTACCTTGTTTAAGGTGCGGTGGTTACTCCAAAGAAACATGTCCGAACACAATGCTTGACACTACCAGGCCAATGGCCACATTCACCGGGTGAAACCTAGCGCCTAGATAATCGAGATATAGCGTTTTTTTCTGCAGTTCGCCCGGGATAGAGCAAGTCACGTCGCACGACACAACGCGAAACCCTAAACCCCTAGACCCTAAACCCTAAACCCTCAACCCTAACCCCTAAACCCCAAAACCCTAAACCCTAAACCCCAAACCCCAAAACCCCAAAACCCCAAAACCCAAAAAACGTAAACCGCAACCGCAGGCCGAAGCCTTGTGCGCCAGCTGCGGCTCTGAGCTGATCTTCGGCTCGGAGGAGGAAATCCAGGCACCCAAAGTTTAGGGGTTTAGGGGCTTAGGGTTTTAGGGTTTAGGATTGAGGGTTAGAATTTAGGGTTTTGGGTTTAGGGTTTAGGGTTAAGGGGTTAGGGTATTTATATAGGGGTGTAGGGTTGAGGTTTTAGGGTTTAGGGGTTTGGGTTTAGTGTTTTAGGATTGAGGGTTTAAGGGGTTAGGGGCTTTGGGTTTTGGGTTTTAGGGCTTAGGGTTTATATAGGGGTGTAGGGTTGAGGTTTTAGGAATTAGGGGTTTGGGTTTAGGGTTTTAGGGTTGAGGGTTTAGGGGGTTAGGGGCTTTGGGTTTTGGGTTTTAGGGTTTAGGGTTTGGGGGTTGAAGGTTTGGGGTTTAGGGTTTTTGGGGTTGAGGGCTTAGGGTTTGGGGTTTAGGGTTGAGCGTTTTAGAGATTTAGGGTTTGGGGTTTAGGGTTTACAGCGGTTCCGGGCGAGAGAAGCCTGCTGCAAAAGGGTTTAGGAAAGTTTAGGGTATCTGGTTGTGTTTACTCTCGCATTCAGGGCTGCTTATCGGTTATATGGTTCGAAACAGAAGGGGTTTGTCGTTAGAGGGCTTGGAGTTGCTGCCTTAAAGGGGGTGGCGCATGTTTGCCACTCCTTGGATGTGGAGTCCGAGCGCCGGGTCCACTTCACAAAAATGCTCGCATTAGAGACTCGCCCTCGATCAAACAGGCTTTAGGCTTGGTAGCTGCAATTCCGCAGACTGCGTCCTTTAGGGTTTAGGGGTTTAGAGTGTAGGATCCTTCGAGTCTGGGTTCAAAAAAGGGCGAAGGATCCTTTACGAAGGAACTGAACATTCTTGCTTAAATGTTGAATGGATCAAGGGGTTTGTTCAAAGTGCAGGCTGTACCCAAAAGGTCACATCCTACCTACCCTTTTTCTCGCGCGCCGATGCTGTATGGTCAGGGTCTGTTGTATAGAAAATCTTACGTAGGTACTCTCAAGAATGGGGGTTGGGTATGACCCGGCCGGTGGAGTAGGTCCCTGGATAGCCAGCTAGGTCCTAGGTGCGACATGGGTCTTCGGCCGAGGATATCACATCCTGATCCTGATTGCTTTCACTTGTGCAAGTACTAGCGCAGCTATCGTATTTGCCAGCTGCAGTGTTGTCAAGCCCAAACCCTAAACCCTAAATGTTGTTCCTTCATGTCGTTGTCGTTTCGGCTGTAGCCTGCAAGCTTCGAGGAGCTCAAGGGATCCGACGTAGCGCCACCCCGGTTTTGCAGGTTACGGATGAAAGGCTTAGGGTTTCGGTTGAGGATGTTAGGGTTTGGCATGGTTAAAATGTGCAACGTGCGAACATGATTGGGGCCCGCCTCCCCCTGCTATCATGGTCGTCTAAGTCCACGGCAGCGGAACCGGTGTGTGCTTTTGCTGTTGGTGCTTTGGTGCTATTGTGCTCCGCAGCTGAAGCCCCAGCAAACCAGCACTTGAGTGTGAACTGCCCGTCCGGGCCCAAACTAAAGAGACAACCCCCTCCGCACCCACAGAAGAAGCAACACCCCCACAGCTTATTTTGCTGTTGGTGTTTTGTTGCTGTTGGTGCCAGTGTTGTTTGTTTGTTTGCTGTTGGTGCCGGCGTGAGGGGTGATTTTGGCTGTTGGCACGGTGTGTGTGCAAATAACAAAACACACACCCACACACCCACACACACCCGCAGCAACTACAAAAACCACCAACAGCCAAGCAACAAAAAAACACTCATAATGTAGGGGGCCTTTATAATTAGAATAGGGTTTTGGGGGTTTCTTACTATGATTATAGTGTAATATACCACCAACCCTATTCTAATTATTAAGGCCCCTTTCTTACCTCCTGTGCAACCCCGGGACCTGATCAAGTGTCTCAGCCTTGTCTTGGGGGTCTGAGGGGCAGTTTTGCAGTACTATAGCAACTAGTACAGGTCTGCATGTCTTTTTCGAACCAGGCGCCGTGCTAGTCTAATCCGGGTGCTTCTTAAAATGCGTGGTATCGGGCCTTATTAGGGGTCAATGGACAGTCAAGAAAACTGCGGGACTGTCTAATCAACGGACGTTTGTCAATCAGGGTCCCAGATTGGAGTGGCAGCAAACCTGCAGGGTTTTGGGCTTGAGGGATTGGGTCCTTCAGGGATGCGGTTTTCCTCATTTTCAACCGTAGCAGGAAAACTTCAAAAGCAAAGGCTGAAGCCAGAGAGCCCTAAACGACACCAGAGCAGCATAGGCGCATTTGGACGGCCCTGGGCGGGGTCTCTGCTGGGTGGCACAAAGAGGCGCGGCACACAGTCGCGAAGTGGTGCAGGTAGGGTGGGAAAGTGATTCCGTGGTTTCTCCGCGGCCTCCGTAAGTGTTTAGCCTCGAGAAGGACATGTTCCACGACTGAGTGAAAGGACTGAAGACATTAGCCAGAAGCTTATGCGCAGGCCTACTAAACGCTAAACCCTCATCACGGAGACCTCGTTTGGCGGAGCCCGAGTTGCGAGAGCATGAACCCTCATCCTTGGCTTCAAAAGCGCCGTCTCCGGAAAATCTGGAACTTGCAGCCATTCAACTCCAACAAACTGCGAGAGACTTGGCCGTACTATAGTACTATAGGGCCAAGAATATTATAACCCCAAGCCTTATTCTGGTTATTACGCCCCCTGCACTACACCTTGCACTTAGAGACTAGGGCAGAAGGTCCTGAGCCCTAAAATCCTGCCTCTCCGTGAACCCTACTTGGAGGTTCATGGGTAGTTATAAATAGATGGGGTTATAAGTAGGGTAACTATAATTATGACTCATATAAGATGTACCCTTAACCATCTTTAACGCTAAACTATCTATTCATCTATATATCTATCTATCTATCTATCTATCTATCTATCTATCTATCTATCTATCTATCTCTCTATCTCTCTATCTCTCTCTCTCTCTCTCTCTCTCTCTCTCCCTCTCTATCTATCTACCTATATGCTCATATGTGGCTGTGTATATATATATATATAATTATATGTATCTCGTCCCTGCGTAAGTAGACCCCAAGAATCCAGACTCTTCTTCTCCAGGTGGCCGTGCCGTGGGTGTTCTTCTCTGCGGTTCTGATGGAGCAGCTGCCTTGGCTGTGAGTATTGTTACGGTTATTTTTCTTAGTGACTTTGTTAAGATCATCATGTAGACTTGCGATGATTATTATTATAATTATTGATATTCTTCCTATTATTTATTATGTATTGCAACTGTTGTTTTATTCTTGGTCTTGTTCTTAGTAATATTACTGCTATTAGTACGGTTCTCGTCCTTACATTTAGATGTGCTTGTGATTGCGGGCAGTCCTTTTTGACTTGAGATGCTTCGTGTCGTCCGGAAACCTTGGCAGCACCTCTGACCACCTCGGCCGGGGCCGAGCCGAACAGCACGGCGACGCGTCTTAAGTCCAATTTTGATTTGTACCCTAACCCCCAAGCCCTTTGATTTCTCAGACTGCAGTTTCATAGGTTGTCCAATGCAGATTCTCCCTGCTATGTGTCATGATCACAGCTGTTGTCTCTTAGTCTTATGACTATGACTGAGTACTACTGTTGCGATGTCGTGCCAACGCACACCACAGAGTCGGTTTCAAGGGTCACCGATACCGATCCGACACCCGTTGAAATCCCTCAAACCCAGACTCCCAAGGTCCTGCAGATGAAACAAAAGAAGCCTTAATCCGGCTCCGACTGAACCTTTCTGAACCTAACAGATCCTAAACATGGTGCACACTGTTTTCTGCCGGGAGCTTCTTGTATCATCGATTCGGAAAGCCATCTTAACGATGCTACTCACCCTTACCCACAGCCGGAACATGCAAGACTGATCCTCTTGGTTCAGTCTTTCATGGAGATGTGCATAACCTGGCACGGCTGACCAAAACCTGTACCATTCAGAAGCCTGTCAAAAGCGATGCGACGTAATGTCAACGCTGCCCTAAACCCTGAAACCCTAACCCCGGAAGCCCTAAACCCTGAAACCCTGAACCCTGAACCCTAAACCCTGAAACCCTAAACCCTGAAACCCTATAGGCCCTGTAGGCCCTATAGGCCCTAGGCAAAAGCAACCTTAAGCCCTGAGCTTGAGGTCTTCGGACATGTCCTTCAGCTGGCAGTAGAGCCTGGGCCCCAGCCTGAACGGCCTCGTCCCAAGGACCTTAGGGTTTAGGGCTCAGGGTTTAGGGTTTAGGGTTTAGGGGTTTAGGGTTTAGGGTTTAGGGTTTAGGGCTCAGGGTTTAGATCAAGGGACGAAAGGAGGGGCTCTTGGGGCTATATAGGGGCTTTATGAGACTATATAAGGGGTATAACAGGGTTATATGGGGTATTTGGGTTAGGGGTCCCTTCCAGGGTCCCTCCTATTGTCCCTTAATTATAGGGCTCATAGGGTTTATAGGGTTTATACGGTTTAGGGTAGGGTTTATAGTTCCCTTAAAGCCCATAGGTCAAATCCATGAAGACTGCTGCGGTGGCATCCGCTACGTTGTCTGCTGAAATCAATATTAGTATTAATGGGGCATAACCTGCTATTTCGTAGCATTTGGGGATTCCCGCTTGCTCCAACGACCCACAATCTTGCAGCGCTAACCCCGCATGCCGAAGCCAAGCTGCAGGAGGATTTCTCAGCTTCTAAACTCCAACAACCCTACATGGGTATCCAAAAACCTAGTGTTTTAAGGGTTATGCGGCATACCCTTTGATTAGTGATTAGTAAGTTAAGGTGTCATAAGTCATAACCTGCTATTTTGTAGGGTTTGGGGATACAAGCAGGCCCAATTCCTCTGCAGTCTTCTCGGTAGGATGGGGGCTTGCGGAAGGAGAGCTATACTTGGAGGTTCATGGGTAGTTATAAGTATGGTTATAAGTCCCCTAAGTTGGGTTACAATTATAGTTGCCTACTTATAACCTCATTTATTACTACCCATGAACCTCCAAGTAGACGACGTGAGCGTCAGTATCGGAGATCCTTTCGGCCTCTGCTGCTCGGGGTCTCGGGTTTACGAGTGCAACAGCCCACCAGCCAAAGCCTGGACCACCGCTGTTCCAACAAGGACCCTCTGTAGCCAAACCCTAAACCTGAAACCTTAAGCTGCGGAAAGCAACGCACTTCTGAACGTACCCTGCAATGCGGGCTCGTCCAAACCCACGTAGGAGGGAAAAACCATAGGCTCTAAACCCTCGACCCGCATGGCAGGGTACGATGACCGACCCCCTGACAGGAGGTTTGTTGCCATAGTTTTGAGCATTTCTTCTTTGCTTTTGTTCTCATTTATCTGTGCTTGGATTCCCACGGATAGTCTTCTGTACCCAAAACCCTAAACCTGTGCTAGTCCGAGGCCTGGCGACAACCAGCGGAGCATCCGAAAGGAACTCGTCGCATGTGGCCACAAGGCTGACAGGGTTTAGGGTTGGTTGAGGGTTTAGGGTTTAGGGGGACGAGTGGCGAACTACCAGGCGTTCTTGCTTGCAAGCCTGCAGCAAAAGGGTTTAGGGTCTGTGGTTGTCAAAACTAGGGCCCCTTTTGGGGTTCCCAAATTTTTGGGTGAAGTATGGATAGTAGCGGCCGACACTCTTCCTCTCTATCTGTGAGTGTCAAAACTGGGGTCCCTTTACTTTTGGGTCCCGTATCAAGAGTAGAATTATAAGGTTCTCCAAAGGGACCATGATTTTGGCAGTTACCCGCATGCAGGCCCGAATGTCAAGGATGGGAATTTGGTGTCTTAGAGTTCCATGCACTGCTGATTTTACTACGGGACCCTGAGGGTCAAGTCATGTCGAGGATTCCAGGCATCGAGACTGCGTTTCGTGTGCATGATCCTTAAACCTTGGGTACTGCCTCCACTCAGTAACAGTTGGATAATATTTATATTATGGATATATTAGGCCCTTAATAGTAGCCCTATTATAGACTGTTACTGTATGGGGGCAGTACCCAACTTAAACCTTAGTCCTAAGCTTTGGGCACAGTGGTTGCAGCAAATATCGAGCCTGAGAAATATGCCAGCCTGCGGCCATTGATGGCGACATTCCCAAAAAGCAGACTACGAAGTATGATCCCCAACTAGTGTCCTCAAGCCCGAAAAACCCTAAATCTTGTAATTAACCCTGCGCAAAACCTACCATGCGGGCATTGTCCCTGCGAGGTAGGAGGCAAAATCCCTGTAACCGTAGATGAACCCTAAACTCCTAAACCTTTAAATCCTAAACCCTAAATCCCTAAATCCCTAAACCCTATAACCCTTAAACCCTATAAACCTTACCACAAGCCTCGCCTGCATTGTCCGAGTGTGAGCGCCGAAACCTCAGCACCTCAAATGGGGGTTTCCGAAAATAGGGGACCCTAATATAGTACCCTAAATAGTCGGATCCTTATTATAAGGACCCCAAAATAAGGTACCCTAAACCCTAAACCCAAGGTACCCCTAATTTTCGGAAACTCTCAAATCGCCCCCGAGCGAGGCTTGCAGCGAACTTCGCCTCCAGGGCCTCAGAGTGGTTTGGGCCTGAGGTCAGGGTTTGGGGGTTTCGGGGTTTATGGGGTTTACGGGGTTTATGGGGTTTATGGGTTTATGGGGTTTAGGGTTTAGGGTCAGAGACAAAGAGAGAGAGAGAGAGAGAGAGAGAGAGACAGAGAGAGAGAGAGAGAGAGGGAGGGCGAGACGGCGACGAGAGAGAGAGAGAGAGACGGGGTTTAGGGGTTTGGGGAAGCAGTTCGGCCGTTCTCAATCCGCCGGTGCCTGGTGCTGATCTCCTCGTGCCATGAGGCATGAACCACAGATGCATGTAGAGGACTCTCTACCTTCATGCTTACCAGTGGGGAACGGTGACAACGCGGAAAAACCTTACACTGTAAATCCCCGAGACGCAAGCCAATCGAAACTCCATGCCCCTTGGGGCCAAACCCTAAACCCTTAAGCATCCCTACACCGACCATGAGCTGCCGAAGCTGTAGATGCATGCTTGATTTACTCACACACCTTGCCCCACAGAGCTCGGCACAAGCAATACCCCTTGAGAAACCCAAGTCTCAAGGCATGAGCAGCACTGACCTTTTTGGTCTCACGCCGTCTCAGCTTATCGCACGTCCGCTTCAACTTTTCTGTATATAATCCCACAGGTTAACCTTTAGTACCCATAGGATACTGGACAAGTAAGAATAGTATACCTCTGGAACAGGGAACCTATTGATAAATACTTCTAAGGCTTTCTAAGGGCCCCGAAACTAAAACCCCGAGAGCCCAATACCTCTTAATTAAGGAATATAGCCTAAACCATAATATGAAGCCCTGATAATTTAAGCCATAATCGCAGCCTGACACGCAGACCCTGGGCCGAATTTGTTCCAGGCGATCGAAACCGCCGATGATGGCATTTTCGAGGAGCTAGGCGTTTCAGTGTCTAGTGGGTTTGGGAGTTGGAGTTCAAAAGTTTATAGGTTTGGGAGGCGGGGTTAGAATTTTAGGATCTGGCAGTTAGGGTTTAAACAGTTTTGGTTCAGGATATGGGAGTTCGGGGTTTGGGGGCTGGCGAGGTTCCGGATTCGTTGAGCCCGGCGTGACGTGATATTCCTGTGCACAGCAATACGAACGGAAGGTGGAAGGACGGCCGCTGAGACTGTTCATGGAGAAGTAAGTTAATACTGTAAGGGTGGAACTGGCGATAGTCAAGTTTCCGTCATGGCCCAAAGTGCAAGTCATCATAGCAAGCAGAAGTACGCGTCATGAGAAAACCAACCAATCGGATGTCACAGCTGTGCTGCTTGTGATTCCCGTCGCAACGGCTATTGCGATCACTTCATGCTTCCATCACTGTCGGCATGGTTATGCGACAGCTGCAGGAAATTTTTGTGGTCACTACTTGCTGCAACCGCTTTCGACCGCTAGTACCATCAATGTTCGCAGCATCTGCAAGTCTACACATATACAAAGGCATTCAATAGTACTCATGCATGTGCGTACGTGTACTACATGTCAATATGCCGTTGATTGCCACTGTCTTTCAAGCGCATAAGTCGCATAAGAACTTTGCCTACGCGCAGCATTACAGTGCGACAGTCGGATGAGTCTTCCTATAGGGCTCCATTTTTGCAATAATAGGGTACTGGGGTACATCATAGATGGATAGTAACCTGCCATTTATGTATCTGGAGCGCCACGGTTAGCGAGGCCCCAGACCCGAAACTCCGCAACCACATGCTCCAAATCGTTCAAACCCCCTTCTCCACAGGCTGGCGGCCCATTGTGAACGTCTGGAGCAGCCCCGAAGAAGCCACGCCCCCAGCGGCAGCCATTCCGACTTTAGGCTTAGAAATTTCGAGTTCAGGATTTTGGATGTTCTGCCTACCCATAGGCCCCATAGTAGTTCCTGTTTGGGGTTCATATATAGAATCCTGTATGGTAATCCCAAAAAGAACTACTATGGGGCCTATGGGTAGTAGCCGCAGTCGCCTTTGGAACTGTAGGGGTGCACGTGGGGTTTTCGGGTTTGCATTGCTTGTAGGGTGTAGAGAGTGAAATTGGGGAATAGGCCGATTTGCCTGGGATTCAGCCACTGAGGTGTTTGTTGTCGTTGCGGCTAGTGTCATTGCTGGGTGGTGGTTGACGCAGCAACCAGCTGTAACTAGCTTCCCTTGATCTCACTTTGGTGAGCTCGCATACCGTCAGCTTGCGTTTGCAAAATTATTCCTCGCCCATGGGTTGGAAAGCCTGGGATAGCCCAACCACCTTGCAGGACCGGCCACGAAAAAAGGGCCGGACGGCCATGAATGGCACCGGCGCGGCAGCATCCTCAGAGACTTCAAGCCGTCGAACCATTATATAAGGCTCATAGAGGTCATAGTGGCTCTCATACAGTGGGCTTAGTAGTTGAAGGAAAGAGATTTGGATTGTTCTACAGTTGTGAACGAAAGCTTTTTCAGGGTTTAGGATGCTTGCAGGTCCACGGGGTTTATATCCGTAGGGTTTCATTCGGAGTGTCCGGCACTTGCAGGGGCATTCGGATGGTAGAAGCAAGCTTGAAAGTTCAAGTCGTGAGCCTCACGCGAGGCGAAAACCAACCAAGAGCCGTCTCCGAAGCCTCCAACAGATTGCAGTCGTCCGTAGAGAAGTCAGGGAGCTCAAGAATGTCACCGCGAACTTAGAGTCCAAGCTTTGAACCCCAGCACAACGTCGCCCCTTGAAACACTCCTGCTTCCATTGGGCTGATTACGTGGCTTCGGCTTGCTACGAGCACTGCTGGTCATTATTGCGGTTCGTCACCGTCATGACTGGTTTCTGTACAAGTATATCTGTTTCAACATGAGCAGTAACACTATACCACATAATATTGTTACTTATTGTTGCTCTCTGTTATCACTCTTGTCATTGGTTGCACTCGAAGGTTGCATCATTGATGGCATTGATTCAGCACGTAGGATGCCAGCTGTTAGCCCTGCAGGCCACGACACTCTGAAACATAAATTCTGAAAGAAACCCTAAACCGTAAGCCCTAAACCCTAAACCCTAAAACCCCAAACCCTAAACCCTAAAACCCTAAACCCTAAACCGGAAACCTGATGGAATCCCATCGGCCTACAGAACGGTTTTGTGAACACGGCATCCCGATCGACTCCGATTGAAACTTGTAGAGAACGTATACAGCGGGACAGCCCAAACTTCTTGGGTTATCTACCCAGGGTTTAGGGTTTAGGGTACCCAAACCATCATAGTAATTCCGACTGTACAAACCTTACTTTCTGCAATGGAGTTACTTACTCAAAGCCTTGAACCCCACTTGAGACCCTGTAACGCCATGCCAGCCTGGTGCGAATGTGTGAGTCGAAATCCTAGTTGTAGGCACATGTAGGTGCGTAGGACCCTTCGGGAAATCCCAAGCCTTAAACCCTAAGCCCTACTTGTAGGTACTTAGGACCCTTATGAGAAATCGAGGCAAGCTCGGCCGCCGCGCCCCGGAATTCCGACCCGAGGCTACGGAGAGATGACAAGGAGCCGGGCTTGGGGGTTTAGGGGTTTGAGCAAGGTATGGAAGCGCAGTCATGAGAGCTGATGTGAAGACAGCGCCTGAAGGGTGTTGCAGTCATGACTCTCCATGTACAGCGTTGGCACCCGAACCGCCCAAGCAACGCCGACTGGCTCAAGAAAATAGCCAATGCGATTTGCTCCAGTGCATTTGCA